GCTAGCTTGGACAAGGCGTAAATCATCACCATTCTCCGCTTGGCTCGAAATAAATTAAGCTTGAAAATAAATTTTAATAGACTAATCTCTGCCTCTTATACATATTTTTATCTCTCTGCCTGGACAACAAGAAATAGTTTTAGGTTAAGTCCTTCTTTTACCATGGATTTGCTTTGCTTTGATTTTAAAATAACATTTTTCCTTGACATTTAACAAATATTTTATTGGTCACCCTAAGCCGCTTAAGGTGATTTATGGATTGATGTCATTTTCTACTCATGGCTCCTTAAAGGTAATGATCATACTGACGAGGTCTGAACTACAATCCAGCTTAAACGAAAAACACTTTTGTCACTCCAGTATAAGCAAGAATTAATCTATCGTTGAACCTACTCATTTCAGATATGAGGACCAAGATGGTGCGGCCTTTTGTTTGTTTGCAGTCTCCTTTAGCTTTATAGTGTTGGTTCGACCTTGTTTTCGTACCTTGGTGGATGCATCAAGGAGATCTTGTGCAACGTATCTAGTCCCGTGTCCTCCGCAATAGCATTCGCGATTTTTAGTATTGGACCTTTGGCTGAGTAAATTCCCAAACGTTTCGCCGGCATCGTCAGTGAGAGGCGCCATCGTAAGCACAGAGTTACAACTTATTAAAGTGAGAAATGAAGACAACCTCCTTGATAGATTTTCTGTTCAACTCTTGTGGCATCACTCATCTACCTTCTAGTGTCGCATCTATTTCTCTCAACCCCACTTCATATGACCTATCTACCATATTTACATAATTTTGTGCTCGTTTCCTCAAATGTCGCCTAAGAGTGTGTCGCTACAAGTGGGTTTAGTGGAGCGTAATAATCTCCACTACCGGTAAGACGCCTTTTGTACATTGGTTCATTGGTACATTCTCAGATGCTTCGTCGACATCGTAGTAGACATCATCAGGGAGTGTTGCAATTCTCCTCACCAAGCTACAAACGCGTCAGAGACAAATAAAGTCAATCTCTCGACCAACATTCTGCCGAAAACCTTTAAACGATTACTCATATTCCTATCCTGGCCCATCTATCAACTCTTTACCCTCTTTTCCAACTCCCGTTCTATCACAACTTCTGACTTGTTTATGTTCCACTTGTCAAAATGTGTGCCTTTTTGACAAATTTAATGTAGCCTAATCACATCTGCTATTCACTCTGGCTCCCTTTCTTTGGATCGGCTAATCCGACTCAGGCCTTTTATCCAGATCTACCAGATGGTGCCGTATATTCGTTCCTTATCTTTCTGGTTGACCGATTTTGCTCGGTTCCAGTCTCAGTGTGCTTTTCACTCCGGGCACTTCTTCTCAAGGCCATAGAAGCAGATACCACCTCATCGAGCAGAGCGCCTAGGCTCTGATTCCCATACTTGCAGATTTCAGGTATTGCCTTCACCTCTCATCTTGATTAAACCCGTGTTACCTGAGCAAACTTTTTACGTCTATCTCTGGTTGCATGCGGCATCTCAAGTGGATTTCTGGTACAGTTTGGCCATAATGTCTAATTTTTATGACGGCCTTGCTTATATGTCTGGCTAGTTCCTTAATTGCCAGCCCCTCAAGGTTCGAACAGACATCACTCATTGATAACGTCTTTACTTGATTTCTGAAAATCTCCTCCCCTCCAATTTTTTCATCGCGATCCTTTTTATTCCGGTTAGCCACATATCCTTGGTCCAGGCGTCTCCTTTTTGCTGGTCTTGCTGTATTCTTGTTTCCCCTGAATGCTTAAGCAGTAGGCAAAGTTATCGCTAACTCAACTTTTCTCAAATCTCTATTCATTATATTTTTCTCCCCAAAATGTCAATAGCCTCCCTAATCTTCCGCTTCCCTGTGTTTTCATCGTATGAGGCCAATCTTTCTGTTGCCTTCCAAGTGATCTCATGTCCATCCTGTGCGATCTGTTCCGCTAATTCGGATCTTTCGGTATCCAGTTTCCTGAATACTCTTTCATGTTGAGTCAGTAGACTTGTGAAAGTAATGTTTTTTCTTTCATGATTACTCGAATATTCCATTTCCTTAATATTTGCTGTAGTTTTTGATTTAGTTCGCAGGAAGGTAGGCATATCCACTTTTTTAAATCCTTCTGCGTCCTCTTTCGTAATCTCCCTTCTGTCATCGGCTACTCACGACCCGTATGTTTCTTTGTATTACTTCGCCCTGCTAGCCCTTTCAGAGGAATATCCTAGCCAATTTGTCCAACTCGTCCCAGAATTTATCGTGACCCTCTTGAACAAATATTTGGACTTTCCATCGGATAGCCGCTCTCACCTCTCTTGGCAAACGTATGAACGAAGAAATTAAAATAGAACTTCAAGATGTCACCGCTACAACCAACAGTGCTCATGCGATACCTGGATGATTACCTTACACTTTGGTCACATGGAAAAGAAAAACTGGACGATTTTCTGAAGTTTTTAGACCAGATTGATGAAAAAATTAGAAGTAGAGGAAGGTGAGCGGTTACCTTCCCTGGATGTTGAAGTGATTCGCTAGAATAATACGCTCAAAGAGAAATTGTTCGCAAAGAAGTCTTATGCCGGGATAATACTGAATTTCCAGTCTTATCACAATTACAGGCCAAAGCTAGGAAAAAAGAGGAGCATGATCATCCGAAGCCTACTTTTAATGGATATGAAATTCTGAGACGAAAATTTGGACAATTTGACTAGGATATACCTCAGCAACGCCTACTTATGCGGAGTAATACAAAGTAACACCAATGAGACAACCCGTGAAGACAATGCCTGACATCTGCAAGCATAGGAATCAGAACCTAGGCGCTCTGTTCAGTGGGGGAGTACTGTACGTGCTTCTAAGGTCTTGAGAAATAGTACCTGGAGTAGAACTCATACTGGGATTGGATCCGAGTGAAGATAAGAAGGATAAGAAGGACTATGAGGGGAATCCCCATAGGAGGCCTGAGTCGGATTAGTTGGTTGAAAGAGAGGGGGGCAGGGTGAATAGCCCCACTTCTATAAATCAAAATCATTGTTTGGTTGCCGGAAATTTGGTTGCCTGAGAGCCTTCAATTCTCGTCCTAGATTAATCATTTTAATTAAAAAATTTCACTGAGTCGTTAAATTACTTTTAGCAAAATACGAATATTAAACTTATCATTCAAGAATCACTCAGCTTACAGCACAATAACAAATTTTATTTTTGCGTGTGCAAAAAAGATACATTTTATGCTCTGTTATGCTGTTGGCTGTATTTTTCTAAGTCATTACTTTTTAAGGAATTAGTTGTGTATTCTCGTAGTATCAACGAATTTCAAATAAATTATTTGAATATTAATTTCCTGCACGACAAAAAACATGGTCAGATTGTATCCTTATTTTGATATTTATTTTTATTAATTTAATTTTTTTACTTTGATTTTAAAATAATACTTTTCCTCGGATGTTATTACATATTTTACAGGTTATTTAAATAACTAAATTTGATCAGATTAAATATTGTTCCTCTACCCAAATCTTACAGAATTGTTCGCAGGCCTTGCTAGGTAGAATCAAATTCTATTAAATATTCAGAAAACAATTGTTCGGGTTTAATTCAGACTTCCTCCTCTTTATCATCTGGGGTTGCCTGCAGCTTTTGAGGACGTTTTTTCATAGGATTTTGATACTTCTAGTATTCCAGGGTTTATTCTTACTCATTGCTAAACTTCACTACTATTTTGAAGTAGTATTTTGTTCGAATTTCTTTGTAAGTTTTATCTGGTTTCTTAGTGAACCTAGGAACCCGCCTTATTTTGCATTGAATTCCGCATTACTATTCCTCATTGCATTTATCATCCTAAGTGAAACTTTTCCTTGGAAATATAACATTAAAAAATTTATTTATTTTTTCAAATTATCATTTTACATGTACACCATGAGGTCTTTGAGTCCTGACAACTGCGAGACAAAACTTATTGTCTACAAAATAATTTATGATGAAATTCCGGAATTGATGTATTTTTACTGAAACATTATAGATGTTAGATCGTTTATTTATATTTGTCTTCCTCCTTACATAAATATGTTGCATTCGCTTTAACATATTTTATCACTCTTCGGTTTAAATAATACTATGAGATGTATTCACCCAATTTTGTTTATGGTGATGAAGGACTGGTAGTAGAATTTACCCACAATGATATGAGTAGACCTAACGTTTCCATTGAATTTCGCATTGCCTTGTTTTTCCAAAATTGTTCTTATCCAAGGTTGCCTGCAGTTTCGACCTCGCATTTGTTTTATCAACACCGGGTAGTCTCGAAACTTTACTCAAACACGAAAAATAAGTAACGCATTCGATTGTTTTAGCAAATATACGTTTGCTTAATCGACAATCTCACCAAAGAATATGATATGGCAAAATGCCCGGCCTTCCTTGAAATTCACATCTGCCCTGTGACCCAAGGGCACTCGTGGAAATGTGTTCGAGTGGTTAACATGCCAAGCTCCCATTCTGCACTGTCACGGTTCGACTCCCGCTGGGGGTGTTGATACGACTAATGCGAGGTCGAAACTGCAGTTCACACTGAATGCGAACAACTTTTGTGAAAGCAGGGCAATGTGAAATTAAATGGAACCGTCAGCTCTACTCATATCATTGTGGGTAAATTCTACTACTAGTCCTTCGTCACCTTAACCGAAATAGGGTGTATACATCTCATATTACTGATTTACTAGTAGTCTCAAAACTCTACTTAAACACGAAAATTAAAAAATATTTTTTGCTAATAAGGAGTATTAACTTGTGATCCCACTTTCAAATTTTTGAAAATCTTACAGCATACTTAATTTATCCCTTCAAGATGTTAATTTAATAATATTTTTCCTATCATTAATTTATATTCTTTAATGCTGGCTTTCTCTTGAATTTTTTAAAATTTGGGTTGTCATTCTCAGTATAACCAACGACGCTCGGGAAGATGAGATGGATAAGAATCTGGGTGTCGTCTCAGAAATGGTTGGCCAACTGCATTCAATGGCCATCGACATGAATACGGAGGTCGAAATTCAAAATTCGAAGCTTGATCAGATGGCTGTCAAGGTTTGCCTTCTTTTATGCACACCTATACCCTCTGCACATCCGTAGCTCTTTTATTAAAATCATTAGATTGGGATTTTTCAATGCAGATATCCATTACTTTTCACTTCTTACTAGGATATTTTATGATAGGCTTATAATTATTTAAAAAAATGTTTCACTTAAGCACGCCTTCTGGGCATCATCCTTCAAAAGTACGTATTGCATTTTATTAATTTACACATGTATATCTGATTATAATTATTGTAAACTTTTATCTATTGTAATTGATTTGTGGATACCAAATAGCGTTCAATTTAATTATCAGTGGATCAGGCTTTTTTACTCAACTATATATTAGCATGCTCTCTTTTAGGCATGAATTATTTATGCAAAACTAACCAGGTTGGCTTAAATAATCTTATTAATGGATCAGACCACATTAACTTCAAGAGTGTACCATGATCAGATATCCAGTCTGATGAAACTAATACTGACTTTAAATTTGTCGGCTCTACTGATAAATAATTAGTCATCTATGCATTAACTTGAAACAATTTTGATTTGAATTAAGGTTAGAGTAACTTTGATTTAGTTGGAAGAGGCCAGTAGAATAGATTCGTAAGTTGGCCTCACCAGAAGCTTTAGGGGGATTGCCTTGGAACCATGACTGTAGATTTGTGCGAATAGGTCTTCGGTGCACCGCTCTGGGACCTATCAATCCTTGCCGAGTTTCGTGCATGATGTGACGGGTATCTTCAGAGCAGGACACCATGCTAAACCCTAGTTCACTAAAACACGAAGATGAGAAAGGTTGCCAGCTTCAAACTTACATGCTAGTTATAATGCAACTTGAGCCACTTAACGAGGAATCTCGATTTGGTTGGATATCCTATGCTTTGCCTAAATGCTTGCTGAAAAGGCAAGTTATGTGGATGTCGATGATCTGTGAGGCGGTTGTAGATGAGGCACGAAACAGCTGCAATTGTGACGATACAGCTATATTCTCGCCTAAACACTTATAATTTGTATCCTGAAATATTACCGCATGCGATTGTGCTCCATTGCACACATGCTGTGTCAATGCATTGTTCTTGAATTTCGTTGGATATGGCAGTATAAACCAGATTCTAGCCAAACCAAGGTTCCTTTTGCTCGATGGTACTTCTCGTTTCCTCTTCTCTCTAATCCTATTCAACCTCCACAAGTCCTTGGAACTTAATTTTTCACAGGCCTTTCTTCTTTTCATGATATTATCTGCTTTGTTGGTTTTTATGGAATCCATTATCTTCTGCTTAAAGGTATAGTCTCCATATCCGGCTAAACGGTTGGCATTAGATCAATCTATCCGGTGCCCTGTGCAAGACAATATTATAAAATAGTTCTCAATCAGTTTTCGTAGCTATTTGTTCCCAAACAGAATTCTATTTATTAGAAGGTATGAAGATCAAGATGGTGTGGCCTTTTGTGTGGTTCCATTCTCCTTTCGTTGTATCGAAGTTGTTTGACCTTGTTTTCACAACTTGGTAACATTGGTAGGAAGACTTAGAAGAACGCACCTTGTCTTGAGTCCATTGTGTGCATGATTATTACCAAACTTGAACCGTGGACGTGGTACTTTACAGACATTGCGACGGCATCGTAGTCTGTATCGTCAGTGAATCTCACCAATCGTAATACCAAATTACAACTCGTCAAAAAGACAAGTGAAGCCGATCCTTTGACCAAACATGTGCTAAACAGTTGTGATATCTCTCCTTCTGCCCTGGGCTATTCACATTTCCCATATCCTCTTATCACGCCTTCAGTCACAATTTTTACTTGCCTAATTAAATGCTGTACGGTGTCTTTTTGAGCGGCTTTAATAAGAACCCCCCGCACTCCACCCTGTCGTTCTCACCCCCTTAATCCTTGTGCTAAGAATGTTGATAAGTCTGCCATATTGTTACGCAGTCCTCCTTCCCTAGGTCTTATCAGTCTCTCTCTTGCCCCGTAAGATCCGTCTGCTATCTTCCTGGTTCGCGCATTTCACTCGACTCCTGTCACCCCATCTGCGCTACTCGAGGCGCTATTACTCCTGCCATGCGTCTGGGTGACTAATTCGAGGCTAAAGCCTCTGAGTAAGTCTCATGATCAAGCTTTTGCTAAATGGACCACATCTATGGTAAAAGATGTCCTCCTATCACGCCTTCCCGGTCACAATTTTTACCCTGCTTATTTCGATGTAGTGTGTTGTGCTCCTTCGAGCGGCAGTCATGACAACCCTTTACACTCTACGCTATTGTTCTCACCCCCTTCAACCTTGTGCTGGCAATGTTGACCAGAGTCTGTCATTGTTACGTAGTCCTCCCCTTGGTCCTATAAGAGTCTCCCTCTTGCCCCGTAGAATCTGTCTGCTATCTCCCTGGTACATGTATTTCACTCGACCTTTGCCCTCCATCTGTTCTACTCGAGGCATAATTCGTCCATTCCCTGCACCTGGGTGATTGATCAGAGGCTAAAGCTTCAGACTGAATCTCATGTTCATGCCTTTGCTACATGGACCACGTTTCTTGTAAAACCTACTGTCAGTCGACTAGCTCTAATCGCCGCCTCGTCTATCCTGTCTCTATCCCTAATTCCAATTCTATGACTTGCCATGCTCTAGTCTCTTGTGTGCCAACCCACAAATGTTGTGGTACTGCTTACTTTGAGTAGGTTCAATTAGGAACCACAACGCTTGTGGATTTGGCACACAATTATATCTCCATAAATGTACTTTCGGCATACCCTATGCTACTAAGCCTTTTGCATTCTTTCATATGAGTGAATTCACTGTTAATTTGTCGAGCTTTCTGTTCGTATTCATTTCATTCTGCGTTTCTTGCAGTGCCACTTTGGTCCTTAACTAGCAGTCGATAATTTATAGTGTCCCCGAGAATAGTTTTCATTTTATTTGTATATTCCATCCTGTCCATCACCACTGTGGCAACTTCTTCAGCCTTCGTCAGCCTGTAAGAATATTCGATCGTTTCTTGTCAATCCTCTATATTTCTTGGTTATATTGTTACTATCCGTGGGTTCTTTATGTGCAAAGATTGTTGGGATGATTTCTATTTCAGGCTCTCGTTTTTTTTCTTCAGCTATCTCCTCAGAGATTTTTATCACCTCCGAAGTGCCAAGATTGTTGGGATGATTTCTATTTCAGGCTCTCGTTTTTTTTCTTCAGCTATCTCCTCAGAGATTTTTA